GTGGGGGGGGGGGTCTAGATATTTGTTCGAGCGAGTTAAAAGAAATTCAAGTTATAGACAACATAAGTGTCCAGCCGTTACCAGTCGATAAAAATCACTTTTGCAAGATTTAATTGTTTTAGAAACACAATAATATAGAGTTATAAGGTGATAAATTTTGCAAAGGCTTTTGTATATGACACCATATAAAAGGCAATAAAAAGAAACCACCTGTGTAAATAATAAGTAGAAGTTTATCTCAGGTGTTTTGGTCTCTTTTACAGGATTCCAGAGCCTACTCTGCCACCCGTGGAACATTTCTCAAATTTGATAATGGATGCTTTTGGAGTGTCAATTGTTGCATTCACCATATCAGTGTCAATGGCAAAGATACTGGCCCAGCAACAGGCGTACACCATCGATGCTACCCAGGTCAGTTATGTTTCTTTAAATGAATCTTTTTGCTGCTATACTTTTTTTGCACAGTGTACCTGGTTTTAATGACGATTGCGATAGTTATATATTTAGTCTCTGTGACAGTTGTGCCTGTAAACTTTTAAGTTTAAAAACCGGCAAACTGGAACTGCTATTAGCCGAAATCATCATTTGGCTGGTTGTGATTTGAAATGTGTACAACTGTAGTTTATTGTATAATTAACAATTACATTGATTGTAATAGTTGATATACGGTTATACTACTGTCAAACATTACATGGCGACGTTAATTGCATATACAAAATATGGCAATATTTAGACAGTTTGTTTGGACATTTCCAGGAACTTATTGCCTATGGTTTGAGTAATGTGGTTGGTTCTGTTTTTTCCACATTTCCGTGCTGTGTTTCTATGTCAAGAAGTCTGGTTCAGGAGACAACTGGAGGAAAGACCCAGGTATACCACAACGCATTTGTCTAAAAAAACAAATATTTCCATTTGAATAGCACTTCAAAGCTTTTACCAATATTATCTTTCCGTTTCTAGGCAAATTTTGAGAAAGTGGCATTTTGCGACATAATTTTTAAGACAGTGACTTATATGATATTTTTACGCCATTCAACACATTTGTCATACATGTATAAATGTGCCAAGAAATGTGATTTCAGGTAGCAAGCTTGGTTTCCTGTTTATTCATATTTATTGTCATACTATTTGCTGGCTCACTTTTTAGGACACTTCCAAGAGTAAGTATATATCTTTCGTCTACTCCTTTGTTAATGTAATTTTACTTGTATTTAACCCTAAAATCACTGAGTAATTTCATTTAAAATATTTTAAAAGTATCGTTTTACTTGGTACAGCGAGAACATTTCAAATGACAAAAATGTTCTCACCAACAGGTAGACATGCAACTGTTTTCAATAATGCTTTGGCAAAGGTATAAAGATTTATATAAACTATCAGCAACAATACTTCGTTTCAGTGTGTTCTTGCTTCCATCGTCATCGTGGCACTGAAAGGCATGTTCCTGCAGGTCAAAGATCTCAACAGACTGTGGAGGATTTCAAAATTTGATTTTGTAAGGGATCTGACTTTATCACCTTTGTCACGATTGTGATATAAGCAATAATGCACGCAGTCACACCAAACACAATGCACCATACCACACTCACTATTGGTACTTCTAGCACAATTAGCACTATCACATACATTGTAGTCACTATTAAAACATTAAACCAATTTCTATCTTTTGATACATGGCGATAATCTTCGGATAATTCCGACCTCAACAAGTAAAGAATATGCGTTAGAGAAAAATAGAGCATTGTTTGCTGTCATAGTCTTTGCATTCATCGATTAACTTGTCATAGAGCTTGTCATGTAATTGTTTTTTTTTCTCCTTCGGGGCGCTGTGAGGTTCCGTCTATGGTAATGGTTAAGGTTTACTTAACTGCAGTTATTTATCGTTAGAAATCATCGAGTTACCGTGTACATTCCGTAACTCATCAGTGGGTCCACGATTTTGCTAAAGGGAAGGGCACAAGAAAAAAGTTACCTTGATCCGTTCGACAAAAGTAACAAATACATGTACATAATTAAGGGCAACAGGATGGAAAATGCCTTGATTCTGTAAAATTTCTCTCGATTATATTTTCACTTAATCTCTAATTCTAGTAAGGGATGCATGTACCTCTGAGACTTAGACCCCATTCTCATAGATTTTAGATCCACCTATCTCTGTGAGGGGTTTCACTAGATTACTGTCAGCTTAGCCGGCTTAAGCGTCTGTTCCGCCTACTAAAAGCTGTAAGGGGGTAATTAACTATGGTGCGCGCTCGGCTGACTGCAATTTAGCGTGAACCCCCAGGGAGTAAGGTCGATCTAAATCTAAATCTCTGGATCGATCTAAATCTCTGGAAATGCACCCTTAAAGAGGAGCACGTGGCGCTGTGCCCTCTGCTATATCCGCCATTATTATTTTTGTTAATTTGGTATCCTGTTCTTATCTTCTAGGCTATCTGGACTGTTACGTTTCTGGCCGTAGTGCTACTGAACGTGGACTGGGGTCTGATCGTCGGAGTTGGATTCTCTCTCGTGACTGTTGTGTTTAGAACTCAATGGTAATTATGACATTTCGTACAGTGTGTCCCAATGAAGTGGGTAGCTACATTAAAGTATTAAGAATGTTTCTTTTATCTTTATCTGTTTTATCTTTTTTATCATGTACCAAAAGAAAATAGCAACCAAAGGTACAGAACTTTCATAGTCAAAAAACGTTTCTAGAAGAATTTCCAAAATTTCAAAGAAAACTAAAATGAGTTGGGTATTCTTGTAGGCCCATGTAGCATAGATACAATGAATGTGTGTGTATTTGCATATTTTCATGAAATTATATTTTAGGCCGAGGTCATCTGTGCTAGGACGATGCCCTAATTCAGAAATATACGTTGATACCAAAACCTATAAGAATGTAAGTATTACAGTCTACATGGTGTATAATTTGGGTAGGGGAGGAGGGGATAAATCCTTGGTATACATGTAATGAATACTTGATATTTATTTAAAAATGTCCATAAGACAGGTCGTAAATAATGAGCAAATTGGATCACATTCGCTTTATATAAATTTCCATTGAGAACAAAACCATGCTCTATAGTCCTAACCGCGACATCTACATGTAAAATGCAAAAGCGTGTGCGTAAAGACTGAAATATGCTTTCTAATTACCGCGTTTGTTGGGTAGCCATACTTATTTTAACCTACATATTCTTTACACCTAGACCATACAAGACCCTGGAATCAAGATATTCCGATTTGAATCTTCCCTGTACTACGCAAACGCTGAACGCTTCAGTCACAAGCTGTACTCAGCCACCGGATGTGACCCTGGACTTTTGATGACGTCACAGGACAGAGGTGAAGACAAGAGTGCAAAGGAGGGGGAAGATGACCAGACACAACGTGTAAGATACGGTGAACTATTTTTTTTTTCTTTTTATCTTGTGTAATGGTGATAAAAAGGTTAGCCATTCGAAAAAGACCAAACGTTTTAGTACACACACTCTTGCTTTAAGTCGCGCATTGGCACCCTTCAAATGTGCAGACAAAGCCAAATTGACCTGCAAACACCAGTTTCTACGTCATTAGGGTACGCATGGCCTGCCATTCTGCCCAATTCTGTTATACAGAATACGCATTTCTAACCGACATCGCTCAAAGAGTTGATTCCACTTTCATAATTTCAAAACTGTTTCTCATTTATTATTTATTTTGCGACAATAATCAAAGAGAAATTAATATTAAAAATTACATCTCTAATTTGCAAAACATATCATCATTTCCAACACATCCAAGTCAAAGGGGCGACCTGATTTCTTATTCCTACCACCAGCAGTGTCACTTGTAGTGACAGATCCCTGAAGATGTCCTTGGCATGAGGACGAAACTTCTGAATCCCCCGTCAGTGTCAAATATTAGAGTTAATAACTTTACATTTAATGAAAGGTATGCTCCATGAGATTTACCCACTAAAATGGAATTTCCTGGGAAAATAAGCAGTTTTCTCGTAGTTATTTATCTATACCTCTCTGTACTCTCTATTTAAGGGGTTAAATCAGTTTAATGCGTATGTAAGGTTTTATAAGAAGCTGTGGATGACCAAAAATAAGCGTATGTAAGGTTTTATATGAAGCTGTGGATGACCCAGAATATGCATTTGGGGGAATTTCGAACCCGTGGAGTGTACCTTGAATGTTATATATCAAAGGACGTAAATGGTCATTTCCAGGGTCCTAGTGTTGGTCAGTCGACAGAGGAACTCGTACTGAACGTCGCAACGACAATACCGCACCTCACAGAAAATTCTGAGAAGAGGGTTGGCAACAGGGTACCGCAACCTCCAATCAATTACATCATACTTGACTGCTCAGCTATGACGTTTATAGATGACGTTGGTATCAAGGTGCTGAAACAGGTAAAATTGTTGCTCTCTCTCTCTCTCTCACACACACAGTAAATTTGTGTGTGGCTGGTATGTGCAGGGGGTTCGTTTATTGCTTAAAAATAAAGGAACACAAACAGTCTTCTTTTTACAGGTTTTTATAAAACCAGACCACTGGTTTTAGTTGGTGTCTTGAATATTCGTCCAACTACATAATACGGTCAACGCATGGGCATAAAAAACTACATGTAGTTTAAATGTTCACCTTGAATTCTGTGCTAATACAAGCATATTATATGCACACGAGTGTACGTTATATAGGAATGAATATTTATTTTCTATGAAAGTTTTATTGAGTTTATTGAAAATTACGCAAGTCCCACATCAGTACATCAAATCATTGACGCCGCAATGGTAGGGAAACTAACACAGATGATACACAAGTGCCGTTTGAGCAGCATGGGTTTTATATCAGGATACTCACATGTGTTTTTACAAAAAAAAAAAAAAATCTCATGTGCCTTTGCAGGTTATGTCTGAATACAAGAAAGTCAACATCTGTGTGCTGCTTGCTATGTGTAGAGGTAGGTGGGCCACGGGCTTGTACGAAAACTTTAATGTGGACGCATAACAATTTTCAGTAATTTTGGGACCTGTGTTAGTGACAAAGGTTTTTTCAACGACCGTTATGGAGTTGAAAGCATATCAAGAAATCCGAATCTAGTCGGTTAATATTTCATTCTTCCTTCTAACAACGCTATTTATTCTTAGATTGGTTGATAACCGGTCTGAAATTAGAATAAATTTGACATACGGTAGAGAAAAAACAAACAAACAAACAAACAAAAAAAAAACAAACAAACAAAAAGAAAAACGCAGAATATTAATCACGCAATAATTATAAACCCCGGAAAACTGATTCGCTTTCCACTATACCTGTAGATCTAGCGTAAGTAAAGAACTCTACTGGTACTTCAATAAAGTTAACCCCGTGTGTAGCCAACTATGCTTGATCACATAGGCCTACTCTTGCTATATCTTCTTCACATTGCTCAGATTAAGCTAGTTCTAGAACAGTAAACTCCGATTGGTTAATATTTGTAGTGCTCTTGGACTCAAAGTAAAGGTGTTTATCATTTAGCACTGTTCACTAGAATTCAATTTACTTTATATATTTTTCAGCCCAAATCAGAGGTATGCTACAGAAAAGCAACTTTAGTGACAAGTTTGGTGATGATTTTATATATTTCATGGTTCATGATGCCGTGATGGCCGCAATGGAGAGAGCGAAAAAACAACAGGGAAAGGTAACGTACACGGTTAAGTACCTCGTTGTTTTCATCTAAAGGAGTCAACTACTCGCTGCCTGAATCGTTACCTTAGATATTAAAGTTAAGGTTTTAGTATATAAAAATATGATAATATTAATTGATTATAATGACATATATACATTGTTTAAAGGTACTGGAGATCAAATGAATGTCGACAAAAATCCAAACCTGGCAGTTATGAAGCACACATATATAAGCCATAGATAGCAGACTATCGCCTATAACCTTTTCTCGGCTTCTAAACATTCGTAATCCTGTCAATCATTACACCACTGATTTGAAAGGATATAAAGCTGCATTTAACCGATCATAATGTTTTTCTTTCTTTGACAGCTGTAGATGATTTGTAACCGCAGATGATGGGTCCACCGTCTGACTGATTGCCACCATAGTCATACGATGACCAGTCCTCGAACATGTACAGATAGAAACTACATTGAAAAGCAGGCTAACTTATAGTTATACTTTTTTATAGTAAAAGCACCAAAACTGCTAAACAGAAATATTTTTTAGTGATTCCTAAAGGATGTATCTGAAAGATCAAAAATATTTTCCAATTGAAAAGGTCGTGCCATTAACGTGCAATGGCGTAATGTTACTCTTATATTTGTCAGTTTTTATTTAAAGTCCCGTTCCAATTTAACTTACAGTTAATCACCATTTTTATATTTGAAAGAAGTATCGGTATCCAAGTGCATTTTTATTATACAGAGAAAAATGTTTACACTTTGTACATTTACATATAATTTCCTGCGTGTTCATTTCTTGAATTAACTTCATAAATCTGAAACAATTTGTTCAGCTCAACCAATTGCAGTAGAGACGATAATTGCTTATTTACATCTCAAGATGGCGCTACAGTACAGTCTGATCTGTCAAACATGGCAAACACTACTCATAGTGACCTACATAATGTCGCTTCAATTTTGGGTGGACAAGGTTGTGAGATTTATCTCCTTTGCGTAAATTTTTTTAATATATTGAACACAGATGCGTTCAATTTATTTTCAATTTAGGACATTATAAATGCAGTTTCATCTGCCAGATTATGGTGAGTGTTTATTAAAAAGGTGACAAATTTATCACACCTCCCCCTCCCCCCATCTAATTGAACTTACCCTCTAGAGAGAGATGCCACTTCCTTCAGTTCCGGTCGAGTCAGAAGGGAATGGATGCAGTGCAGTGTAGGGACTAAGTATACAGGTTTTAAACTATCCAAAATAATGGTTTTTCTTTACTATTATTAGGAATTTGAAGATGTGTTATTTGTGATTCATTTAAATGTGCGCCTGCTGTCAGTGGTTTTGGCCATTCCCCGATATTTACCTGACGTAACATTTTGCTTCGTCTACAAAAGTTCACAGCCCATATTCCATGGTAATGCAAAATGCCTTTGCACATGTTATCTATTAGACCTCCGTTAGTGCATATAAAAGTATTAGCAACTGTAACAGTTAAAGTTTGACGTGGAAATAGTAATGGAGGTAAAGAAAGTTGTGGATTGGCTTGTTCAAAATATTGGCATTTGGTAACCGGACGAAATGACATGGTATACACACGTAGAAACATGTATAGTGGTATAGTCTTCCATTTCCGAATTAAAGAACACGGTACACGTACACCTGTAGTTATATATTCATGTACACGTATGCCCATTACTAATTTTGGTACAGCTTTACAAATGAAATAAAATGTAGCAATCCATGGTTTTTGTGAGATAAAGAAAAGTTAGACTGGTTTGTGTGACAGATAGAGCTTTAAGGCATATATAGGGGCGATTTGACGACACAAAATATTATTTGAACGGATTTTGGCGAATTTTCACTGTTTCTGAATAAAACGATATACAGGTGTATTTTCTATATAGTGTTTGATGATCATTGCTTTACCAATCATGAGGTATTTCACAAATAAATATATAAGATTTGAAAAGTGGCATATTAAAGGCTAAATGGTTATCGGTTACAAAACTCTATTTATTTCGATTCGATAATGAATATCACCCCCTATGCCTTTAGACATGTCTTCTTTTAATCATTATTATACTTTTATGCATGGGGACTTAATATGCATTTGTACTTAGTAAAATGTTATTGTTTGTAATATTTTTCAGCAAGGCATGAAGTGTTGACTTGACTTTACTGATATACAGGTAGGCTGGTGCGAATAAAGTACGCATAGCTATGGACAGATTGCCAGACAGTCTTGAAAAAAATATCTTTAAGCTCAATTTGATCTTTTTTTATATGTTGGAAGAAGTAATTATCAAGAAATAACATTTTTACATGGCGAAAGTTCACTAAAATATTCTAGCAACCTCGAAAACACTTAATGTATGTTTTGGACAGTTTCATGATTAATTTCATAAAATTTTACGTTTTAATTCTATCCTGGCTAGTAATCTTCAAATCGTATGAAATCGTATGAAAATTCATTTTTAAACCAGCTTACTGATAAGTTGACAATGTGACCTTAAATTATTTATTTATTTTATTTATTTATTTAGTTTTTGTTACGTCAACCCTTTTTATTAATTGCTAGAATTTATTTGTCAATTTGATTCCAGCAGAACCAAAAATTCTCCCACTCATTGTGGACTCTGGAAACATTGCTATTATTTTTGATTCCAAAGGCGTACAATGCACGATGCACCACTCGTTCTCCAATAAAAGAGTTACCCAAAAAAACTAGAAATTAAGAATCGCTTATTATTTACTTTTGTCGCTTGTTTTGTTTCAAGTTCTCTGATAGAAAAGGGATATTATAACTGGAAGTTCGGGAACTTACTGCCTTGTTGAGAAAATGTCATTATGAAAAACACAATCGATAATTCGATAAACATTTAGTCGTGCGTTTAATACTATCCATTTTCAGAAATATAGGCTGGTAGAAAATAATATTTGAAACGTGTTATCGTAAAGTATAGATAACATATTTGTGACATTAACATGCTGAACAAAATCGAGCTTCTGAGTAAAAATTAAGGGACTGTGACTGAATTTTTCCAAAGTTTCCAAATCCTGCTGTTCTTTGGCATACTACACCTACCATGGATCTTTATTCCAGTGACTACCTGCAAAGAGAGTGCTTAGGGTGCTTTCCCAGAGATTTAGATCGATCTAAAGATAAAGTTTTAGATCGACCTAACTCCCTGGGGGTTCACGCTAAATTGCAGTCAGCCGAGCGGGCACCATAGTTAATTACCCCCTTACAGCTTTTAGTAGGCGGGACAGACGCTTAAGCCGGCCAAGCTGACAGTAGTCTATTGAAACTCCCCACAGGGATAGATCGACCTAAAAATCTATGGAAATGGGGTGTTAGTTTCCTTTCCGTGAGAGGAATAGATTAAGAATGGAGTTAATTATTGCACGTGTTATATACTGTGTTTTCTAAATAAAATTTGTGAAGTATTTTGTCCCCATTTTACTGTAACGTTTATACATCATTTGATTATTAATTTTGTCCACGTTTCACAAATTGCACATGTAAGGGCACTCCCATTATCGGTCAATATTTTTCATATCAAACTAATGTAAAGAGCCCCTTGTATTTTGAAAGAGAGCACTTTTAAAAATTCTGTACCATGTCGAGTAATTATTGGTTTTTGCATGTTCATTTTATGTTGGTGATTAAGTTGGAACTAGACCAACCATTGCCTTTCAAAAATAAATGCTTAAAAAGTTCTGTGCTTTTTCAAAATTTAATTTTGATAAAATGAACCTTAATCGAGTACTTTTGTTGACATTTTATTTGTGAATATCAACCAAGCTTTAATGAGAGACGCTTTTGAAATGAATGAACACATATTGATTTTGCTATTAATAAATTATTTCCAAACATGCACACTGTCTTAGTACTTTCATTGGCAAAGACATAACCAATCAGTTGGAGTTATAATCCTCGGTCAATTACTTGGGAAATTACTATAAGCGTAGGGCATTTGGGCAATTCTTTCGGTTACTATTAGAAGAAAGTCTACCCGAGGAGGGAGGGTGGGAAGACTTAGGGGAGTGGATAGCGCGCTTTCCTCAGAGACAAGAGGTCTCGGGTTCGAATCCGCTTGGTTCTGGGTCCCAGTAAATTCCTTTTTGCAAAAAGAAAAAAAAAACATAGCAGCAACATGGCATATTACTGACTACAGAAATATAAAACGAATGGTACGAGTGGTGAAGAAAATATGCCATACATTTTGAAAATTTGAACGATCTAATGTAATGATGCGTTTATTATTGTCTGAATCAAATTAAACAATTAAAGCAATGATTTTCATACATAAAGTAACAATGCAAAAGTAACAATGTCAGAGCGTTACAAAAAAGCAAGGCATATAAGAACATTAAATTGTGGATTGTCAAGTGTTTCTTTAACAAATGCAAAGGTCCATCATATCTAACTTAAATGTGACAGATTCTTTGCATCTGCCCTAAATAAAATGCTGACATACAAACTTTTGACTGCAAAAATTCAAATCAATCAAAATGTAATCATTAATACAATATTGATATAATATAGGTTTGAGATACAAAATACTTCTTAATGATAACTTCATAAATTCCATATTGAATGAGCGATTGCAGTAAGTATTAAGCAAAAGTGTACCAAATATTAGCATGAATGATAATGCAATTAAATTTTTCTGTAAATTTCTTATCAGTTTGTTTTAAAATCTATTTGGACAAGATTGAAAAAAGCTGTCGACATAACAAAACATTCCCTCCAAATCACTTTTCGACAACCATTCTGTATTCCAATTTGGAACATTTTAGCATGTACACAACATACAGTGTATATTTTCATTCTGCAATAATAGATGGTTAAGGGAAGAAGTGTCTACCCCACACCTGGCTGCATCGTTTTTAAACCATACGAACATTTTGACCCACTCTCAACACTAAATATGGGTGTGTCACTTTAATCGGGCACATGGCACCAAAACACAGAAAACAGAAAAAAAATATTCTAAGCATATGCGCCACAACCGCACATTCACATTTTTAGAAATATAGTTTGAATAAGTGTGGATAAATCTGCAATGGCGTGGGCGATTTTCAGTATCAGAAAGATGTAATATTTGAGGTGTTATAACTGAGATGACAGTGTTATTGGGTTATCGCAAATACACATCCCATCTCGTTCTCTTCTACTGAACACACAATCTATGCATTCATCTACGTTTTTACGCAATGAGATGCGAAATTTTGCTTTCAAAGTAATATAACGTGATAGAATATTAAATTGATTTTAAAGACAGTGAAGTTTCTAAATGCAGATTTTCCCCACACTATTTTACCGTCAGACAGAAAACCGATCGTACAATATGCACTACTCTATTAGAACAACTCATGCTATTTTTGCAGTAACAATTTTTCTGTCTTTTTATAATCACTCAAGCAAGGGTATGTTTGTATAGGCATTATTTCCGTTGAATAATATCTCCAAAAGTGAAGTTTCAGGTTCTGGGAATAATACTAAAACACTATGGGCAGATAGAGTACCGCATACGTACGACTTAGGGAATGTCACACTCGTAGAGTATAAACGCAGTAACTTACGGGATTGACAATTATTATGAATTAAGTCCATTTTCATTAACACCTATTTTTCCGCTCAAAAATGTATAAATTGGCTTTTCGGTTTGAATCACATTTTCAGGCAGAATATTACAACCACCAACGAATACCATATTCCATATAAAAACCCTTCAAATAACAAGAAGCTTCAATAGCTTAAGGAGATAAACTTCGGCAAACGAGAAAATCTAGGTAAGAGTGCAGGCGCTGTCAAACACGAATCTTCTTTGGCGGATGTTGCATCCAGTCTCTTTGCAGGTTGGTACGTGTAAGCGTCACTAAAATGAAAGGAGGAGATTTAAAAATAAGTAAAGCACTGTAAAATCATGACAGTAACTAATTTCAGTATACATTTCACATTTAACTAAACAAATCCAATCAATACTAAGTTTTGTAGTTACATAAACACGAAATATAAGCCTATATGCCCATACAATCGCTGTTGAGTTAAGGTTCACCATTTAAAATCAAAAGTTTCATATATGCAAAGCTTGATATGCAAATTGCAATATCAAGGAAGGGGATGGAAATGAAATCAAAGACATCGAAGTCGAGAGAATTAAACATTGCCATGGAATATGTTCGTTTGTTTTCTTTCTTGGTTGCTATATTATGTACTACGGAATCATTTGTAGTTTTCGGATAAGACCACTGATGGACAGTACTAAGTGTATTTTGGTGCTTTGAAAATAGTAAAAGATTCCGTTAGTAATAAAATTATGCTTATAAGGTGCGTGCTGCAATTGTGTAGTTAGCTACCTGCAATACAAACCTGCATGCATTCAGACGTTTGAGCAACTGGAATAATGTAAGCTCTTTACTTCTGTATTACCTCTAATAATAACAAAAAATATTTAAACATAAAGCTTATTTCGGACTTGTAAGGTAAAGGGTTTCTGGTTCGATAGTTCACGTTAAAAAGATACAGGTCTATGTACATGTACCTCCGTGGTCGTTATGCCTCAAGTGGCAAATGTGTCTTTTTTGACAAATGTGGCCATTGTAAAGGTAACAGTGTAATCTTACACCGTCAATGCAATACTTACAGCAGATTGTTGTCGTTTTCAGTGCCATTTTGTCGGCCTTCTCGTGGAAATTGTAGCAGTGTGCAATGAGGATTCCTGATTCTCCGTCGTCTACTGACCTTGCATGGTCCTACCTGAACACTTCTCACAATACGATCACCTGATCTACATAACTGAGATACAGTTCACCCACTTTTCGCGCGGAAGCCTCGAGCTAAGAATTAAGTATTTATTGCGATAAGACATGATGCAATTCCATCTCAAGGCAGTGATTCGGATTTGCTGGCAAAGCTCTCTTTATGAAAAAACGGCGAATACAACACAATATTTTGGATGTATATTGAAAAGCAACAAAAAATACATAAATGGTTTATCCCCCCAAAAAGCAAAACAACATTAATAGCATTGACATTATACTTCACTCCACTAGCATTTTTGAGACTATATCCTTCAGCGAATTGTCAGTCTTTCCCTTCTATAATAGATTCACCTCAGTGAAAAAAGGGATCATTTGCATCCACCAAGCTTGACCTGGTGATATTAGGCGACAAGCAGCATGCATGTCTTGGGATAGAATCAATACAAAATTATTTCATAGATTATACGCCCGACACCCTCTGCCTACACCAGTGACCCCTTTCGGTAAAATGTAGATTCACATACATGCAATGGCATATATATAATACATGTACCTAAGATTTCCTCACTGGAACGTAGAGAGTCACGCCACCACTTGCACCAACAAATGGTGCTGCCTTCAAGTCCCCCGTCGACTCGTTTGTCGAGATTTTGTTTACCAAACGGACCATCGGGGTTTCACACGATGCTGTTGGTATATTTATCCGTATAATGGCATTCATACCGAGCACTTACGCTTGGTCGAACTATTGAAAGAAAATCACTTTGATCAGTCTCTGTAAATAATCCTCAGAAATAACTGATGAATGTGCAAACATAACCAAATTGCGTTTAGCAAGACGCAACAGAAATGCATATAGAAACAATTGGATTATTTAGCTGTCTTGAATTATCTCCATTCGGAATCACACCGCTGATTATGAGAAAGTAAGAGAATACGCTATTAGTTAATTGCGATTCTATCCCACGAGAGGTTTTATAGTACAGCACTGGATCTAACAGTGGTTTTTCTACTGATGTCTCGTGCTGCATTGAGAGAAGCTCCAGATGGTTCGGGTGTAAATTACTCAAGGGTAGTCCTTATATTAATTTGGAGTATACAAATTGCACCAATTGTGAACGTGTTTGAAATGGAATCCGAACACTTGAAAAGCGTTCCATATAAACCATAGCTCCACTAGATGTCGCCCCCCCCCCCCCCCCCCCAACAACTTATTACAAACATCAGTAAAGAGCATGAGTTTATTTGAAATATTCCCAGTAATAAAATAATACAGAATTACAGATAAATGTTTATGTAACTCAGGCTAAAATCTAGGTTCTATACTAAAATACAAAATTTAATATATGTAAGCATTTGATTACATACATGTAGATGTATAGAAATAATAAAAAATATACGCACTTTCAAAATATACCTCGTGTTGCATTCATAGTTACAGTATGAATTATAGTAGAATACTTATATGTGGAAAAAAATTTAGAAAGGTTCTATATATCTCGCAACTGCGCTGTATACCCATTACAAACCGAAAGTATCAGAAATAATGAAATATGCTTAAAGGTGAAAACTGTACAAAATCCATATATGTTGTAGTATTTCCAGATACATGAGATATTTGCAACACACGTATGAGCCTGTCTTACCTCTTTGGTTTACAACTTTTGATTACATAAAGCTGACGTCTTTACGGAAGCAGAACAACATGATTGCCATGAGCCCCGATCTGGATAATAATGACGCTTAATCTTCATGTGACACGTGATGATAAAATAAGCAATCGTTGTATTGACTGAAAATGAATTGACTGAAAATATCATTATTAGAGCCAAAATATACTATCATTTATTTTATGAGATATCTGTAAGATACATTTTCTAAAATACCGCTCTCAAAGACATACACGTTTTATATCACTATCAAACTAACATAATTCCCTGCATGTATCTAGAGAAATTTGTCTTGGAGCTTTCAATGCCAACTGTCACTGCAGAATGTGTGTTATACAACGTGGCTTCTAGACACCGTTTCTACAAAATTAATGAAATCATCCCAGAGGAGTACTAGTATTTGATTGCACGCCCCTATCAATTCTGGTTGATGTGTGTGACTCTAATACCAGACAATATTTTGCCAACGGCTTCAAAACACGGTGCCACGATGGCCCCAAGGTATGTTGACCAGGCTCTGCGCACGCAGCCCATCTCAATGTCGTATGCCTTCAGCGCGGGGATCCAGCACCAAATGTTACAGAAAGACAGGCAGGCGAAGTAGACACCCCAGCAGCAGGCCAATGGGAGACCGAGCACCAGGGAGAAGATGCGGTAACACCAGAGCTTTGCCCCATGGAAAACCTGGAGAAGAATTAAGGGAAACTTCTTGAACAAAAGTGATTTTGATGAACAGCAACCAATGTGATGTGGCATTTGCATGCTTGGTTAAATATGTTTTTAGTTATAATAAAAAGCTACATACTGCCATTTTAAAACTCAAGTTTAAATATATAATTCACGGTTATTAGTTAAATCCTAACCAACCCTATGCGATGAATTGGCCCTATGAGAAAGGAAACAATTAATGGGCGTGGTTGGGTATATTATTTCAATGTTATATTATTATACCAGGGGCGTGGGGCACTTTGGACACGGTTGGTGCACTCCCGGTATCCTAGTGCTTGCACCACAATTGATTTACAGCCTATGAATATCCCATTCCGTAAATATTCTGAAAAGGTATTTCCACAAACACAAATGCTAGCCCACACGTCTAATTTCTACAGCAACGTGTGCAAATATCTGTTATATCTTCTTTTAATGCCGAAACGCATCCACCGACACAAAGCTCTCTGAAGCAATCTAATCTTAAAATCCATATTCATGTCATCCTGGGGGATAATAGATTTGTATTTGCGATATGGCGATGTTCAAATGTATTCCAGTCTAACATATCTACTTTGGTCTGTTTGGCCAAATAGCCACACACACATATATAGACGTGTAATCATCCAAGCGATTGTGCATATTAGTAGTTTTTTTCTGAATTTTGTAATGGGTTATTTGACATTGATAGATAGAATTCGATTCATTCTAAAGCGCACACGCGAATGTTTTTTGTGAGTGAGTGAATGCAACGTTTTGTTAAAATCTGAAGGGGCGGTTTGCGTACTAATAATGTCAAGGAGCCATTTTCTCTTATCTACAAAGGAAAACAAAGCTTATAGTTTAATCTAACTTATATTCATATATTCCATCTACAAATATAAATATATATGTACATATACATAAGCCTGTGGTGCTGTACGTGATAACTGCATGTATTCTGCGAGCTACGTCTTGTGATTCAATCCACTTAATTTCAAGAGGCAAGAAAGCAAAGAAGTGTTATCGAGTTAAACCGAACTCGCCTTAGAAATTAAGGAATAATTGCAAGAAAGACAAAAAGAACATTCATTATCAAAGTGTTTGAAAATTTTATAGACCCGTTCACGTATTTTCAAACAATTAGATGAATTATGTTTTACTGACAGACTTGGCTTCACACGTTTCATATGACATATCCCAGCATTTACGACGTTTTCTTTTTTAATGGATCGTTCAGGGTCTTGTACAAATATGCTTTAGACATACATACTACATCACTATGACAGTTTTATTGCTCTTAGAAATAACGACTTTGGACCAAGTAACCGTTGCAATCTCATCAATAAATGGTGACAAAGTCTATGCTCGCTGGAATTGTGCGCTTCTACCGGAATTAACGCCCAATGCAATAACTTACTGTAAAGCTAAGGAGGATTGGAACCTTTGCTATACAACTGGGCTTAAAAGGATGTTATATTCTGACAAAATATCAGTTCTGTGGCTCAAATCTGGTGAAACTGAGAAAATGCACATTTTACTTACTTTTCTTTGGAATATTAAGGGAGGAATAACAATCCTTCAAATCTGCTATACAGACTTTGCATCTACATGTAGAGTTTTTCATTGTATCTTTGTAATGCTGATCAAAAGTAAAACCATACCTAAAGAGACAAAACGTGTAATCTACCTTTGGGACATGACGTTTCGAACCTCAATGCCCCAAAGAGCCTTGATAACATGGCTGACTTGATATGCCCCATAGGTACAAAACACTTTTGGTATCTTAGGAAAAGATTTTGTATTACCGATCACGTACTAATGAGCGAGAGGAAGTCATTGGTGACAAAATGTGAATGGAAATGATTGAATTATGACAGGAAAGATACTTTTGTAAAATTACTTAAGGTCTCTCCTGTTCCTGGGCTCTTCTTTTTAAATTTTGGATAAAGGACACTGCACCCAGGGCTCATTACAAATACCCATCTTAAGACTGAAACAACGTTAATTTACTATTTTAGTTCTCTTGAAAACACGTGTTCAGATGGGGAATAGCTTGGGTTCTGTTGTATCAAGAAAGAACTGTAATACCCTGATAGGGTTTCGTGCCTGATGGTCTAGGACGACGTAGAAATTAGACCATTTGTGCTTTTTGTAGAAAAACGGAACCTACGGTACCGGGCATAAACACTGACCCAGCTCTAAATGGGGTGTATAAACTGTGAACCCGTGTGGTCCCTGGTCAGTGTTATGGGCACTGTGATACATATATCCAGGCCTGTGTAGCTTCATTTCGAGTGGACGATGACAGCAAGTACTTTCTAACCACAGGGGGTACGCTAGCAGGCTACTGTAGAAGTGTCTATTACAAAATTTGCATTTGCAATTTACTAGTTATGATTGTCTTGTGTTATTCCTATAAAGGAATAGGAAATACGCTCACAGCATCAGAAGCGTGGAGCGTGGGCAGTGCATTTAGTCGCTCTGATTACAGACCTTTTAAGCCTCGTTTGCATCAAGTCTCATTAGGTCGCTTTTGATGCGTTCACAGGTGCCGCTGCATGTTAAGCGGCATTAATTGCAACAGAGATGGCTATTGGAAAACATGGAATTGACTTGCTTGGCTTACTGTAGCACAGACTGGACGGCCCAACACAGCTGAAGATTTTGATATATAAACTCGTGATCAATTCAGATAGGGCCCAAATAAGCGTGAAGTTCACGCTTGTCAGTGCTAAGTGGCAATGTCCAGTTAGTCGTGACCTTTTCTTCCAGCTGTCTTCTATAATGATACCTTATATACCTGTAAAAATTGACCACAAAAAACTAGTTCTATAAACATTATGGGAAACAAAGGCATTTCTTTATGTTTTATAAAGGCCACGTATGTATAAGAAGACTTGGCCTTCGTGAAACGCAATGTGCGGAACAAACGCATGGATTCTGCACGGCGTGCCGGCATTGTTTTCATTTTCCTTATAACGGAATGTGTAACACAGGCGAACATGATTACGATGATGTGTAGCAGCATGCGGTTGTGGCCTTACTAGAGCATTCAAGTGCACCTGGAAAATGTTTTCAGGCCAGCCATGAGCGTAATTATGACTTTATACAACACAATCGTATTTTTTTCCTGGAAATTTCAAATTTTTACCCAATGACCAATCACAAGCTACACAGTATCCAAGACCGTTGGTAAAATTAAGATGTACCAGGATAAACTAGCTCTAGTTTTTGTGTCACTTTCGTAATGGAAATACAGGATCACGATTCACGCTTCACGATTAATGGAAAAGTGAAATGTTAATGTATTATGCCCTAAAGCCGTGATTTTCGTGTGGGTCTCAGTAGCTCTGAGTGTGATATCTAATGGAAAGTGTGGGACTACAACCATAGCGATATATGTCGATGCAGCTACTTCAGGAATTTCTAAGTGAATGCGAAATATGCATCGCATGCTGTGTAATAGTTTTCTCATAGTGCTAAAACTATAAATTGAACAGCAGGTACGCACACATTGCACAAACCACATATTTATACATGTATGTAACACAGATCTTGTAGTCAATTCAAGGATCTCTTATAATAAAAATATATTTGTTGAATCTCAAACAGGCATCCTGTGTTTTAGACGGCAATGGAACTCGCCCAAATATTGTCATTAATGTCCCGCCTATA